TTTTAAAAATAACATGTGATATAGAATATTCAAATATTGTTTGTTTGTTAATTCAAATTGCTTCACGTTGTTCCAACTTAGGTTTTTTTTCTCATCAAATTTCAATCTTTTGAAGAAGTATCATAGTCAAATCAATGAAATCAAAAAGCCTTTGCTTTTTTATAACTTATATCATAAAATTTGGGATGAATCAATATCACCTTTGACAAATAGGCATGTGGTCTTTTTTTTTGCTTTAAGACTGTAAAATCAAGTTAATTGGAATAATTGGTTGTAATTAAATAGCACAACTAACCTATATATATATATATATATATATATATGATAAAAATTTTTTAAATCCATGGATTTTTTTGTGATGACTTATTCCGATTATTTTTACAAGCAATTTTACGTCATACAGATATTTTATTTGATCTTCAAGTATGATTGTCCGGCGTTGTTAATGTTGGAAATTACATTAGATTTTAGTTTAATTCATAATTTTAAAAAATATGTAAGTGCATCAAACTCAAAGAATTAACCTGAAATATGCATATTCACAAGTTGATACTAAATTTGCATTTTTCATCATTATTAGCTATGTCAACAAAACACATTGGACTTTTCAAAAAACACTTAAAATGTCATTTAATTTTTTTGCAATCTCATCTATACATTAATACTCTAATTAGTTTCACAAACTAGGATGAAAGTAATTTGAATTAAGTCAAAATTTTAGCTAAGTACTTATAATCTTTCCCTTAATTTATGCCTTGAAGACCATATAGTCCTTTTGCAAAAAATTCAAAAACTAATTATAACATAGATCTTTAAACTAATCATAGTCAAAATCGTAGTCAAAAAAATTATAGAGTATTTATATATATATAATACAAATTACATTCTTATATATGTATGCTTCTCATGTAGATGTCGCAAAGTAGCGCCTTAAACTTTTCAATAAAACAATTTTCATCAATGCATGCTAGATCTGATATGTACATGTTAACCTTGAGCATAGCTAGATCATTATTAAATCTTGTGCATACTATCACATACATGAGACTTTTCACCGCTTAGTCATATGAAATTCATAATTTATTTTTCAATTACATGAATTGGAAATCAAGTTGCAAAAAATTTGAGTTGAGTTGCACAAAAAATTCATTCTCAATGAATGTTAAAATTATTAAACAAATGTTGAAAACACTTGTCTTGACTTAATTGTTTTATGGAAATCCAATGAATAACCATATTCCATATCTTGTTGGATAGACCCAAATTCATCATCTTACATTCATACTTCAAATGATTTTTGTATTTGTTGATGTTGCATTTGTTAATTGTTTTTCAAAATAAGCATTTCACTCATGTTAAATATACAACAATGAAATTAAAGATATTATTCATTATATTTTTACGTCTATACATGAATAACTTATGATTTGTAAAAATTGTTATGTATTCATTTACATATGATAGGAGTTTTTTTTCAATCCACATAAGAATTTCAAGAATCTATACCCTTTTTTTTATTAAACATTGCAAAAAACTCACATACTAGTCAAATTGTAACATATTTTGATTTATCTCAGAAAATTTTATTGTTGTACATATTTTACAAAACTGTCAAACTTCTAGGCAACAACTTAATTTGGAATTTTTTTCCTAGTTATCTCCTTGATTATGCTTCAGCTTGTATATCATTCTTTGAAGCAGATTTAATTCAGGCTTATGTACAGAATTTTGAGCTTTACTTTAATGACAAAGTTGTTATACTTCCAAGATCAACTCACTATAGTTAGCATCTTCAATCTCAATATCACAGTCTTTACAAATGGATGAATAAATACATATTCATATCCTTGTATGAGCTCTATTTACGTAATTTGATCATTTACTTATAATCATTTCTTGTTGATTTTTATCACTTTTTGAAGTTAATTAAGATTCACCAACAATAACTTGCGCTTTCAATTTTTGTTCTTCATACATTCGTTCCATCAAAATGTTTACTTTTGTCACATCTTTAAATCTCCAAAGTTCAATTTTATCTTGAACAACATTTAGTACTGAAGAATTGTTCTTGTCACTATGTACAGGAAGTATGAAATACTAATTAGCTTGAACCAAGTTTCTTGAGCTAACTATTTTGTCATTTATCGATCAAAAGAGCTTATTCTAGCTCTTAGTGTCGCATATGATTTTCAAAAATCATATGTGAATAAAGACTGAAGTGTTTATATCAACATAGATCAAAGCCATGAATCATGTATTTTCTTTTGTCTACTATGCATGTGCAATTTTTCTATGTGAGTATCTTTCTGCTGCATTTGATGTTTAATGTTGTGGCTGCTTTAAGGTATTATTATAGAACTTGAATCAACAAGAGCATGAGCAAACTTTCATATTCTATTATGTTTCTTAAGCTTAATCATGCATTTTATCTTCTTTGATCATACTAATCTTTTTTACCACAAATATGAAATATCATGTTGTTATAATTTATATTTTTTCATATTTACTATTTACATATGATGATGTTATTTTTTTATGCAAAAAAAAATCATCTAATATTATGTTGATTTTTAAAAATGTAAAAAAATATTGCCATTAGAAATCATTGTAATTTGTATATCATGTGAGTATGAAAATTCATTGTGCAATGAAAAAACATACATGACTGTCACATTAAACATCACAATATACATAGATTAATACATGAACACAAGTGTCTTATAGTTAATCTATCCAATCTCAAAATTGTGCATCAAGACATGAGGATAATCAATATCCCATAAACCATCAGATTACAGAAAAGCTAATCCGTCTTTTTTGCATCACCAGTATGAGAATCCTGCACTAGCTATTTTCCATTATAGCCGAAATCTGTAAGTCTCAACTTGTAAAACTAAAACCTTTTGAGCTCTAATTCAAACTCAAATACCTGAGCCCTACAGTTGCTAACAACATTATTAGCCTTGACGGCTCATCTAATGCAAATGGAGTCAATTTCACAATCGACTCTAACTATTTAGTTTGATCCTACACTAAGCAAACTACAACATAAATTGTGGCATATTGTATAGAAAGGTGGTTGAGATGTGCTGCAATGAATGAGGGTTAAAATAAATCTAAACTTGTTCTAAATGGAGCAAGTTATAAATATGATAACAGATGTGACGATTATCAGTCTTATACTTAATAAAATCTGTAAAGTGCTGTATATATATAACATATGTAAATGCAGCAATCGACGATTCTAATTATGTATGTAAACACAACGACATTTTGTTGTGTTAATTTAAGTTACATGTATCACTATATGCATACTTTGACATGTTCATGAGGGTTTGCAAGAAACTATCATATCATACTAAGGTACGAAGTGTATTAATATTGTTAACATATTGTGTAGAATTTTTTTGGGTTATATTTTTTTTGGTAAAAGAGATTATGTTGCATTTCTGGTTGCAGCTAAAAAATTTACTTTGATGTGAAAAGGCTCAGAAAGTAATTCATATCTAATGTTGAATTCGATCAATATATTTTTTTCTAAATTTAATATTATTAAATCAAATCAAAAATAGAAAATTTTTTTTAATAGTGAATACTATTTGCATGTCTAAAAATTACTTTGAAAATTTCAAGATATCAGTACATGATAATGATGTAAAAATAATCATATTTATTTTATATCAAAAAAGGACTGAAAAATTTTTCACCTATTTCTGTTATTATTTTAATTTATTTCATTTGAATTTTTTCTTTTGATTGATTTTCACATGACAAATTTCCCAAATATTTCTCTAAAGTACATATCGTCTGACAGTAGGCAATTTTATTTGATAAAATTATATGTTGTTAGTGCTAATATAACTGACGTTAAGAATTTTTTAAATCATCGATTGTTGAAAATATCGCAAACAATATTTCGAAATTCAGCCATATTATAAATCGAATAAAATCTAATGCACATCATCTTACATTAATTATTTTGAAGAATGACTTGATTGAAAAAATCAGTATACTTGAAAATAAAACATTTTGTTTCAGAATTCCAAGTAACATTCATATTTCAATATTATATCACATATATTTTAGGTCAAATTCTTAAGATATGATATGAAATAAATGACACATCGTCTTACTTGTTGATAAAAGAAACGAATAGGTGCGCGTAGCGCAATTATCGGGCTGTACTATCACCCCAATATGGTACACAAAGTAACATTTAATAAAAAAGGCTGTCCAGTCACTCCCGAGAGTAGAGTAAATATAAAGAAAACGTGAAATTTCTTGAATGTAATAACTTTAAGTAAGTTGAAATGAAAATATTTTTTTGACAAATATGTAATCCCTGTAATGTGATTTATGAATCTTTTCTTTAGAATAGTAAATAAGTAGTAATTTCATAGACTATATTTTCCATTCCGTTTTTTAAATGACTTTCGTGATTTTTTTCATAATAGCTTTAATTATCTTACACATAGGCCAACATGGCGTGGAAATCATTAGCTTTTGCAATGCTCATATATCTTTGAGATTTTTAAGACACTGACGAACTTCACATACATTTCACATTTCTAGTACTATTCTTAAATAATTAGTCATTCCAGTTTTTTATAATTGACCTATTTTAGTCAAATTTGAACTAGCTTTCAACAAAGCTTGTTATAAATTAACAAATCTTGTTGCTATTCCTTAAAATGTATACATTTCTACTTTATTCTATTGATGAAATAGAATTGGAAGATCGAAACTAAAATTTCACTGAGATTATCTTCGACACAATAAAAAAATTTCTAAGTTTCAAATATCCTCAGAAAGACAACTTTTTTTGGACTTTTCTAATATGAGATTTTATCAAGCGCACTGTGATCCTTTGGATAGTAACAGTGGGACTGATCTGTTGAAATTACTCTAGATGCTACAACGAATCATTCTTTACGGTACACTCCAAATGCTTAGTGTTAAGCTATGAATGATTTTCTTCCACACAGATATTGGAATTAAACGCAAGCCAAGGCTTTTATTTCATATGGTGTACAATAATTCGTATAGAGCAATGTAAATCCAGGGAAATTAGTAGAAAACTAGAGTTACCATGATTTGCTTACGACGTTTATACACAAAACCAGCATTCTCATTTGCGGTCTGTGGGTAGTAAATAACTGAATAACGAGAGACAAACAGAATTGGATAATCATTTCTGCATTGCGTCGATGGATAATCTGTGACACGGGAGAGAATCTACATACTTGGTTATTCGCAGCTCGATCTACTCCTTCATCTCTTCGAAGTAGTTTGAGGTCTCCAACTATGAACATGGACAGTGCTTCATAATAATCCTGCCATGCTCGTTCTTGCCGGAATATATCGTGAACTTCAGGAGATTTGTCCTGAAAAACTCTATATTCAAATAGTGACAGATTGGATGTAAATTTGACAACAGTAATTCAGATTGAAAATAGGATTTACAATGGGACTGGCTTCTTACGACGCTTGACGTCGGAAGCGGCTTAATTAACTAGAGTTATTTTGTCAATCAATTTGAAAACAGATACTGTCCAAAGAAAACTTCCTGCTTCCACGCCCCGAAATATAGTTCGGTAAGGTTTTTCTCCGGCATTCTCCGTTCTAGGCGATAGCGTGTAAGTTTTCTTGATAGACTGAAGAAATCACAGTTATCGGAAACAATTTTGAAACTTAAGAGAAAGACCAAATGTAAGAATCATCCACATAGAAAGTTCAACACATACATAAGCATACATGTTACGACAAGATGAGAGTAGAGACAAGTGCAGTAAAACTAACATGACACTGCATAACTGTTCAGTGACCTACGAACCTCCATACGTTGTCTTTCGTCAAGTACCGATAAGAACAGAAATAAAACATACTGAAATCTTGAGTTCATACGACGACAGCCACTACATGAGTCGAGTCATGACATTGAAGTCTGCCACTGAAGTCTAACTTAGAAACATTCTTAGACATACATGGCCGGTTTTACAACGAAGCCTGATCCATTGAGTTTCTTCAGATCTTTCGATGTGTTCACATTGCCATCTGACCCTGGACCAGCAGGACCTCGGCCTATGAGTTACGAATGGCCAAGATACAGCAAGAGACGTACACAAACCATACGCGGTAAAATATGTTCGGTCTGTAGCACAAACGGAAAAAATTTTAACCAGGAGACATCCAATGTCGACTAATCTTGACATTGTGAGCTACTAGCCCCGTCTAGCGAATGCCCCTTCCATCCTAACAACTTGGAAATATTAGGAAACTTCATGTCTGCCTTTCGCATGGACTTCTAACCTCGGGAATTATATAGCACGTGTAATACTAAATATAGAATGCCCTGACCACTAAAAGGAATGAGGCATACAGAGCACTTCTTTCAACCCTTGGATGTCAGACTAGTTTCATCTCGTATCACGTCTTGGTGACGACCTACAAGAACTTCAACTGGATCAACTGGGCCATCTCAATAAGTCATGATTAAGCAACGGACTACTATCTATAACTAACTATAAAGAGCAGTTTCACTAGTTGCTTTACATCAACAGAGGTTTAGATCAGATTTCCCCTCAAAGAACAAATAGAGAAGTAAATAAGGCCTGGATTTACTTCTTCATTGTAATCATCGCAACCTCCAATCCAGATTGGCACGGAAAAAGCTACGATTGCATACATATGATACTTCCTGTGTTGGATCGACAGCGTGACGCCATCACAAGCCCCGAATAGAAGGGAATAGCTGAACTAAATACATCTGGCAAATCTCGAGAAAAGCCTACTCCGCAAGTTCAAATAATGAATTTGTATGGCTAACTACGATGCAAACGTCGATAGTGCCTTTGAGGTGCAAAATAATAACCAAATATTATCCAGCCTGAGTTCTAAAATATCACATCATACCTTTCCCACGTGCTATGATAAACGATTGCTCCGCCTTTTATCTCACTACAATGGTCTGACAAAATGTGAGGCGAAGATCGTGGATGTGTCATGAATCATGAAAGATCAGGTGTCCGTTGATGTTTCAATGAGAAGCCAAGGTATCTATCCATGGATTCATGGATAGATTCATGGTAAAGTCTAATTTTCATTCAAGATATAAATGAAAACCACCGAGAACAAAAGAAGAGGTCAACAATAAGGATATGGCGATTTGAGGGCTAGCTTACATGATTTAAACTAGGTTAGAACTATGAGCAACGATGAGGTTTGTGGAACGACTGTTTACAAGTGGATAGAACCAGCTTAACCGAAATAGAAATATAATCCTGTAACAGTTGGTGTGGGCTGACTTGGAGCTGGTATAACAGATATGAAATACTGTCAATTTTCAACACGCTACACCAATGACTCCCACCGAACTAAGACAAAGTGTCTACTATTGTCCTGTTCTGGTGAGCTGATGTTCAATCATTAGTAAACTGAAGACTAAAGCTTAAAAACAGGCAATAGATTCATGTTTTGGTAATGAATTTGTCGAGTGAAAAAAGAGAGTAACGGCCAATACTTGAAGCGTGCAACTTTTGTCGGCATTCAACTCATTAAAACCCGCTTTAAGTGAACTAATGATCAGAAGGAGAAATGAACTCTACTCCAGGTCACAAACAATCAGTATAAGAGGACCGCAAAAGAGTCGCAATATAGCACAATAAACAAAATGAAATAGCCTATTGAAGGGAAGCATGCATATCTATATACAGCAAGTCAGACGGTAGCCTCGATTACAAGTAATTGCCTATAATAAAGAAGCCCTAGCCATAAGAGCTTGGCATGGCCATAGAAATATATATGAAATGATCAGCCTGACGCAGCCATACGGAGGTTCTCCAAGCCTGATACAGAAACCATTGAAGAATTAAAGCTTGAGGCCACCATAAACTAATGATAATTTCGTAACAATAATGCTCTCTTCCACCCACTCCGCCAAAATTTGTTTCAAGATGCAGAAGATAGAAAGTTCTGGGCACTTCACAAAATAGCCGTCATGCCTCAATAAATTACTTCATTGTAAAGTCGCTGCTCCTAGTATTGTAGGGGAACAATATGATGGATCCAACAAGACAAGCGGGAAGGAAATTTCCAGATGTAATTCCGAACTTAAAAATTATTGATTGTATAAACAAACAAATTGGCAAAGTTCGCTACATAAATGTAAAGCTTTGAGAGAGAATCTGGACGACCGGGATGTAAATAAGCGTGATGACCACGAAAATTACAATATACCGGACCTACTACTACGAGTCCACGAATAGGTTTACCCACATTAAACAAAAAAACACTGAAAAGGAACGTACGAACTTATCAAACATATGACGAGAACCTCATCAGGATAGCAAAACCAAGCGTTTGACTCCCGTTGATGTATTCATGACACCGTTACTCAGCCGCCTTTCGAAGAAGACAGACATTTTCGAAATATGGCAAGAAAAAGAGACAATTACATCGCTCGGAGATGGATAGGAGTTTCTAAGAAATCACGAAAACATAGCAGGAAAGGACACCAAAACGAGAGGGAACAATTTGAAATTCAATTGACGTCTAACTATCGTGGTAAGAGAAAACTCGAGCGTCAGTCGCAGTCCCAGCGGCAAGACGGCATAATCGAGGTGCCAACAGGAAGGTAATACAGTGACAATTCAGTCGATGAGTGCAATTACCTGAGTTATTACTCCTTAAGTTCATACACAGATGGCATCATGCAAATGCAGAGAACATGTACCCGATTCGAGTGGCCGAACCCACATTTGCCAAGAGTAGGTAGTCAACTGACACTCTATATGATACATTCACGCATAATGGTTTACTAATCGAACTCACAGAGAAGTACGACATGTCATATGCTCACTCAAAAGCTACTCTAATTTATCTCCGATTTGAATTCGCACTGGTGAAATAGAGATGTAAATCAAACTGGTACCTGTAGGTACAGGTGAAGATTAGCGACCAATGTTACAAATAAATTCCTAACTAAATTTCTAAGGTTTTCGGGTTTAAACAATCAAACCATCTATATTTCGTAGAATGAACCAATTGAACGGGTTATATCTCGATAATCAGAGTTAATGAATGAAGTTTTAGCAATCAACTTGACTGCACTCAGATAGCAACAACAAAAATCTGTAGCATAGCAGGATGTACCTTTGAGATAGGCAAGTAGCATCCGGCGGCTAGCTAGATAGTAACCAGGCCCTTCAGAATAAAAACAACCATGAGCCAAAACCTCGAAGATCCAGTGCGGTACAAACTCTTCCAGGCAACAGACTTTTCAAAAGCTCACAAGTGAGCTTCTTTATTTAAAAGACTCCGCAACGATATGAAGGCGGGTTTAAAGATCACCTTCATGATAGAATCCAGTCCCTCCATTCAAATCTGGCAAGAGGAGAAAGACTTCACCCCAAACCAATCACAGCCGGACGCAAACTGAGATTTCTCGGTGATGCACAGTTGTGAACCAGGAGCACCAGGAGTCAAGATCTGAAAATACATCTTCCAAAACCAAGCCCATATTAAAGGTACAGTGATGAAAAGTAATGAAACGTAATGGATGAATGTTATCAAATCATATGAAGAGCTTCGACGATTAGTAAATCTTTACAGCAGTACTACTGATAAATACTCGTACACATTGTTATTGAGATGGCTTGAAGCAGTAATTAGAAATTAGTCGTATTCGAATTGAAATTCATCACATCTATGATCTGTAGTCCCTTACATCCAGCCTTCAAGATAAACTGGATGCCACTAACAACAACTACCTACAAAAGGACCGAATATGGTGTTATAACTTTCGAACACAGCGTTAACTATTAAAATTCCTGTAAACGACAACAATGTGATACATAATCCTCGTGGGATTACTGCTCTCCTGTCCAAGCCTAGACAACAAACACAATATAAGATTTTCTAAGTTAAAGCCAATCAGCAAATTATTTACTAATCATGCAAAATTCCCACACAGATCGTATATGCCTCTAATCGTGACGTGGGTTGCAAAGTGCAAATACCTCGTGCCAGGTGCTGCTCATCTTCCGACATGTCACTTGTTTCGAAACAATCAGACAACTCGTTCAAAAGTTAATATGCAGGAAGTTGCTCCTTCCAAAAACTGATGAGGAAATACCAAAATCCGTTGCAGTTCGCTGAAATGTCCATCAAATAGACAGTCCGAAAGATCACACTGTCGGCAGCTAGGTGACTGATAAATTCAGTAACTTAAGGTAAACTTTTGTAACTGCGTAAAAGGAAAAGTAAAGGATTAAGAAGCACGTTGCGGTCATGCTCACTTAAACTTCCATATATCGAAGGAAGACAGCTGGGTTCCAGCCAGTGGAAAGTAGCACACACCGCAGAGATAATTGTAAATAAACCTTCTGCGAACTAGAGAACAACAAACCCCTATGAACTTAGATAAACAATGTCAGCCTCAATGAGATTTGCTTCGCTATTCACTGCTATCAGATTGTATGGCTTGTGAACTGCTTTAGGAAATAGCCTGACGACTAAGTCACGGGTGTGAGTCCTATGCTCTATCGTGATAGTTATTAGCACTCGCCGTTGCGAGATTCTGCCTATATATTTCTGTACAAGCATGCACCAAAGTGCGCATTCTGGAGAATAATGCCTGCCTGGTCAATCTGAGAAACGGCCTCGTGATGTACACTCCTCAACGACCGAGTAGACTATCTCAAAAGAATCAATGTAGAAGCCAAACGAACAACATGTGAGCACATAAGCACATCACCATGATACATCCAGTCTGTATTCAAGGTCTAATATCCAGAATGCGACTGAGCCATGAAAGTGAACACATCCGTAGGATACACTGGTACTGATAAACCCGAACCCATTGGGCAGTAAGAGCAGTAAGCGACGTTCAAGAGCGACACGATACAGCTGCAGACCTGGGCTCAGATTGGCAACTGGCGAAAGTAGCATCATCTCGGCTACAAAACTCGTTAGGAACAAATACCGTCAGAAGAGAACTGCCTAGTGGGATGCCCATTGTTTACATGTTGCTGGGGCTTCACAGCTACATACATGGAGAGTGATATTAACCCTCATGCCAGTTGTGATGGTTTCTGTAGCTTGAAAGCGTATCGCAGGATGTTGCCAGTGGGAGGAAACTGGGTCGTGCACATAACATGTAATCAGACAAGTCAAGAGTCCAGAGACCAATGTCGCTCGTGGCCTTGTGAAGGAAGACTATGAAGCACGATGCCACGAGAAGGTCTAATCCTTCACTCGACAGATATAGGCACTGTAAATTTAATACTCGGGCTTACTCGACCGATTCTTATGATCGCTGGCAATATGTCTTCTACAAATACTGCTACTCAAGCCCCTAACTATCTCTCTCCCTCTCTACCTCTCTCCCTTTTTCTCTCTCTCAAAAGACTCTCCATAAACTCATGTGATGTTCAAATAGCTCTCCTACTTTTGGGCCCATCCGCTGGGTTACTGGATACCAATCATCTTTGACAGGCGTAGGAGTCCCAAACGCACGTACGAGATTCGGAGGAAGGACTAACATGCAACAAATCCGGCAGCAGAAGAGGGATAGCACAGCCCCAGTTGTCAAGCCCCAGGCTGAAGCGGGAGAGACGGCAAAGGCTGTGCTCTCTCTCTTCTGGTAACGGCTTTGGTGCTCTTCATCTACTTCCTCTTTCATCTACATGCGCGCAACGCCGACACATTGGAAAAAAATCTCAGAACAGCAAATATGTTGATTCCGAAGATGGGCTCGTCATGTGGTTGAGCAACGTGGTCTAGCGGGCGCAAGAAGGGCAATTGAGAGTTCAGGAGCCTTGGAAAGGCTATATCTATTTCGTGTCGTTTGGACATCTATTCTGGGCGGACTGACTTGACTATCTATATCGAAAATGCAAGTGTGGGCTTTCATCTCGGCTGCAGTTCTTCTGCTCTAGTTCCACCCTCATTCCTTCTCCCGCTCTCTCCAACCCGTCTCAAAGCCTGCCTATTACACCCACATCTGGGAAGTTGAATTTCAGGTCAAGTGATTTCATTGGTCGAGCAGATGACATATTGTATTCTACTGCAGGAACATTAAGAAGCGTCAATGAAGTGTGTCACTTGCTGTAGCATCAGGCGGTGCTACTGATGATGCTAAACCTAACCTAGTGGGGTCAGTCTTTCCGTGTATGGTACCCGACTACGGCGCCTCATAGATGTAGGATGATAACTAAGTCAGCGCGTGCAATGGGCACGGCCTGTTAGAATGAGCAGGAGAAGAGTAAGAAGAAGCAATGCCCGCGCCACTGCCCGCGGCTAACTCGTGTCACAGTCAGTCATATTTGAAACATCGCCCACAACCATGGCGTAAGGACGAAAGGTCGGACGGATCCTGTGCCTAATTAGTATCCAACCTAAATCAACTCTGCGAAATTGCAATCGCATGCACATTTCAAAGTTTGCGGCGACTCATACCCTAACTTTCTGTCGTCAGTGAAGCTGCCTCCGGGACCGTCCTCTAAGATAATATTTGGTCTGCTTCTGCTCCCAAGCCACGGGCCACGGCGTCATCGTTAGCATTACGAGCAACCCATTATGCGTCGTGACGGTCTGCTAGCTAATTCTGTACGGTGAGGCGTCATGGACGACGACTCAAAAAAACCTCGAACTGATGACGATGCACCATGAGAGAAACTGCTGCTGCAAGGGAAGGAGAGACAAAGTGTTCTGCCTGCGCAAGTGGGACCCGCTTTCTTCGTCCTCCTTCTTTTGTGTCAGTCCGTGCCTACACTTTGCAGAGTGAAGCTATAAACACCTCCTCGTATTGGAGGACTCTGCGTTGGCATGCATCTGACAGGACGTAGTCAACCGTGAGAGAAAGTCCATTACCATTAGTGTAATCGACGCAGATTAACCTCATACAAGGCCATGCTGTATGCATGAACGCATTCTAGCACATTCATGTCACATGTCCTTAGCAGTTAGCACATGGGAGCTCAAGAGAACTCGTATGCAGATCCGCTTCCTCGCTACTCATCATTTAATACAACTTCCTCCCTTTCAATGGTCCATTGTTCCTATTCCGATTGATGGCATGATGAGGACTGATCATTACTGCTCTCTCGCCCTGCCTGTCCTGATCCTCTTGCACGCTCGTCTCGTGCACAAAGAATCTTCGCCTTCGTCTTGGCGCAAAAGAATGATTGAACTCCCCCTGCAGCTACATTTTTTCACATAAAGTGTCCGTAGCCTATACGGTTGGGTACACAGTGACACATCCCAGCATAGTTTACCTCGAGCCTCCTCCATTTTTGCTGCGAATTCGCAACTATCCATTAAAAGACCATTTCCGGTCCAAGCTCGACCGCATGCGCTCGAGTTGGAGCCTTGCGAGGCCGACGAAGGCCAGAAGAAACAACCAGCGCAGGAAAATGCCTACGGTCGTGGAAATCTTTTACAACAAGAATACCGTCTGGGGTAAACCAAGCACGTCAACTTCTCTAGCATGTAAGTCGGTAAGAATGCGCACACGGGACACGGAAATCCAATAAAATCCACAGACCTCTTTCGAGCCGTCTCTTTAACAAACCATATTTTCGCAGGTCATGTTCTGGCCTCTGCCTAAACACTCGAGCCAAATCGGCCTTTTCTTCCCGGACCTTTGGCACGACTTATTATACAGCATAGCCGAATTTTGCGAACAGTGCTGGATGTGGCCTTTCCCTCGCGCTTCCGCGGCCAGATTGGACGAGAGCAAAGTGAAGTAAGAGTGATGCGTCTTATGATGTCAATGGACACTGTTATGCCCCACGAGATTCCACTTCTACAAGACTTACTGTTAATGAAACACGACATTCCACCTTTCTGCCCTTTGTCTTGTTAGGGTTGACGTAAAGAGCGTTCACGCTTCTAGTGAACCGAGTCTCTCACATATTCTCTGCTCGCAAGAGGAATTTTTTATCTGCGTGGACTCGCTTGGGTGCTCGTTTCATTTTCTCATTGGTATGTCGACAAGTAGAGTCGTAAGAAAGAGAAAAATAAGACAAGCCGAGTGTCATCAAATCAGCTTCATGGTCTACTATTCAACTCCATCTTTAACATATTTCTAACATTTCGAACTTTACAAAATTCACGCAGAACAAGAGAACAAATACGCACATGTAGTCATCAAAACTCATAAAAAACTAAGTATTTAGTCGTTGCTAAATGGTTTTAAGCCAGCACTTTTAAAAACATGTGTATTTGGAATGATTAATACAACTCACACACACATAAGTAAATGTATATAGACATAGTCATAACATTATTCAATGAACTAAAATTGCACATTTTGCTATGGTGTTTTCAGTATCGGTTAAGATTTCAAACCATATTGATGAAACAAAACATTCAAATGCAATATTTTCTGATATAGAACAAAGTGAAGGAAACTAACTCTCTCCCTCTCACACATATATTTTCTGATATAGAACAAAGTGAAGGAAACTAACTCTCTTTCTCTCACATATATATATATATATATATATATATATATCTATATCTATATATATTATCAAACTATAATCACAAACATCAAGTTTGCTTGTATCTATACTTAAATATTCATTACGCGTTACATAAAGACACATACATGATTTTTATCATCGTTAATAAAGTATATTAAAAATTTTATAATCAGTTTATAATGTCCACTTATTATGAAAATGATTACTCTAGTACCTGAAAGTAGTTAATACGAAAACAATTGTAAAATTTATATTGGAAAAAACTCATTACTAGAAGGTTGAAAATACATTGTTGATGTAATCTACTTTCATCGATAGTTATATAAGACACTAATAAAGCTTCGATTATATTCTTCATACAATTCAATCAACATACAAGAAATATAAATCGTATAATGAGCCTTGTTTGCTAATTTAAAAACTTAGTGATAGTATAAATGAATTCACATAACATATGGATGTAAACCAAATGATTAATTTAAGATTTTTATTCTCTTAATTCATTTTTCATTATAATCTAATTTTTTAGTCAAGGTTCATTCTTATCATATATATTTTATCATACTATAACAACTGTAAACTGCAAATAATAAGTTTTTTAGCTCTGACTATCATGTTAATTAAATTTTATGGTATTAATTAAGATTAAGCAACACACATATAGATTAAATTTAAACTTTGAACTGAACTTGCTAGTTCTGATGACTTCTTGCCATTGGATTCCATCTCATTATTAGCTTATTTTTCATTTAAATTTTGACACATCATTTTGATCAGTACTCACAAGTTGTACAGTTTTTCAACTTGGTTAAGATAATAAAGTTACGTGAAATAAATCCATATAACAAAACGAATTGATATTTTTAACCTTACAAGATTAAAAATGTGTATTTATGTTTACAGATGATTATTTTTTTGTGGTTTGGTCTGTTTCATAAGATTTAATAAGTATTCAAGGTTTAATTGAGATACTAAAGAAAATAAAAAATTAACACAAAGTAATTTGAAGTACTGGATTTTTGTAATTTTGTTTAAATCTATGTAATTTTTTGCATATTTTTTAGAATTAATTGGAAAAAACCTAAATATTGATTTTGAGGTATTTTTCTATTATTTTGAAAAACAATAAAGGATACAAAAACTTCAAATGGAATTTTCTAAAGCTAATTTATTTTTTTTACAATTTATCTTTATTTAAATTATTTTGAGTAAAAATTTATTGCAAGTATTGCTGAAAATCTTAAATTCCATTTTTATGTTAGTTTTCACCTAAATAATTATCATTAAAATTATTTTACAGTATATAAGCTACAAAAATAAATAAATAAAACTTTTTAAAAATATTTTTAAATTTAAGATTTGAACTTAGATAGTAAAATAGAATGAAACTTTGAAATTTTTGTCAGATGCATAGGCATAGATCTATACCATATCTACAATGCAGTATATGATTTTGTTATTTTGTTTAATAATATGAATTATCATGTTCATTAAAATTATATGTTATTCAAATTAATTAAAATAATAATAATATTGTTATGTCAAATGTATTCTTTTCAATTTTCATTGTTCATTTGATACTATATGTGAGTTTTAATTTTAAATATGATACTTTATACAAAATTCAAAATCAATTTTATCCAACTGGAAGTTCATGAATTATTATTGATAAAAACTGAATACAAAAATGTGAATTTTTTTAATGTTTCAAGTAATTATCTGATAGAAATTAAGCTCATCATAAACAAATTTAAGTACAACTAAGTAATGTTGTCATGCTTAAAGACATATAAAGTTTCGCACAACAAATGGCTCATAGCTTTAATAATAAGTCTATTCACTTCAAAGCATAAGATATTTCTATCACATGTATGAATTTTAAAAGCATTTATTAGTATGAATAAGAATATATAACATTATTCTGCTTTATCATAATATGATTTATCTCATAATCAATTATATATGTTTTCAACGTTGAGAACATGTTGCTGAAATTTAGCTCTCATTAAAAAATAAAAATTAAACTTTTTTTTGTTTAACAATTGCTAATATGGTATTTTATGTATGGTATTGTACTTAAATTACACATTTATAAATGTTATAGTATTTGGCCACATTTGAATATTACAGTTGTAATCATTAAATTTGTGAAACAAAATTATATATATAATCATCTTTCATTGTAAAAATGAATTTAAAATAAATAAGAATCTATTAAAAAATCTAAATTCAGTAAATAA